ACCTGTAGTTGTTGCGGTGAGATGAGGTAGTATAGATAACAATGTGACCACGTAAGATCTTATAGATTAGGCAGTTACATCATGACAGATCTACAATTTTAGTATTAAGTTTATTATTAGAGCAGTACTAATATCGTAATTCGGTTAATCCATGATAAGTCAGTCAAAAACATCACCCTTAGCGTATTATTTCATGTCTCTTGGTAGCATCAAAGGTACTATTGACGGCGTAGGACGCAGTCGTATGTTCCCTATATGTTTTCGGTTGCATATCATGAGAGTGCTGAAAGAGTGGAGGGTAGAGGGAGGATCGAGAATCAGATGTGACACATTAAGATCTTCAACATATGGAAAACTATCACGCGCACAAAAATGTAGTGCGACGAAAAGTCACCCCCAAGACAACGTTGACCCTTGCATATTGCTCATGTAGTTCGTGGGTCATGCCCGTACTTAAACCTACAGCTTTCCACCTCCGATATACCCAAATAAAATTGTGAGTGAGTTCTAACGAGTGAAATTATATCTCGCCCCCTTTAGACGATAAACGTCTGTTTAAGCAGTGTTTCTGGTGAAGCGATCTTAGTTGGTTTTAATCCATCCACCAAGTATCTCAACTAGAGTGCATTATTTTTAAGGCTAAGAATGTTCTTATGACATACACTTTGACTGTGTTGAGAACTGCCTCGTATTACCTATATGGATTTAAAACCTGTTTGCTTCCAAGACCACAATATCCGGAAACCACAGATTTCAAATTTTGTATTAACGTTTTAGTGCTCAATTATAAAAAAGGCTCACTAACAATTATTTCATTTTTGCGTGGTCAATCTCACCTGGAACGGATACTTCAGCTACGTATATTGTATGGATTTTGTAATACGGAGTCTCATTTCTTAGAGTACTAACGTTAAAACTCTACCACGGTGGGTTGCAACATTTAACCTACTGCCCATGATTAAAATACACAAACGACCAGGGCACTCTGACCAAAGATGTTCTGGGGCTCCCGTTTCAGTTTCTTCCAAATGCTATTCGTTCTATATATGTCTGCCTCCAGGTCACGCCCTCATGTGTTCGTTGGTCTGCCTTTTTCATTTCGTATCCACGAGCACAGATAAGCTCAGACTGATGATGACCATCATGTAACCAGTGGTAGCCTCACGACGGCATGACAGTTATCTTGTTGATTATGAGATGGGTTTCCTGGTTTATGATACCTCTCTTGGTAGCCAATAAACCCTAGATATAAAATACTAGATTCTACTGAAGAGACTCATTTACGAATAACTTTTAAAACTATCTCCTTAAGCATTAACAGAATTTATAGACATCCTATCTACCTTCAGATAGATGAAGTTGCCATAAATATCCTCTTTAGAAATATATTTTCTCTGTTCCATCCCTACTTTAGGGAGTTTGAGTCCAGTGCTTCATGTATTGGCACGGTAATCTAACAGGTGAACATAGCAAACGTAGTATCTAACTATGTGAATGTTCGTCTTAAAACCCATATGGTTCTAAACCCCATGGCTGAAATCTCACGGCGGTAGGCCGTGGTCTTAAGACCATGGCTCACTGTTACCCCAAGATCGTTGTGAGACCGAACCACGGGTACAGGCACTTCCTCAAGGTTGTACCTATTTACCTTTGTATCCCCAAAGAGCATGTAGACACACTTGGCCGCGTTGATCTGCATCATCCACTTTTTAGACCAGCTAATCCTAATATCCAAGTCTGCCTGAAATGCGTATGCATATGAGTCTCCTATTATTTTTCGCCAGATGTTTTAGATCATCAAAGTATAGTTACACTGGGGACTCAACAGTACTTGGGATATAGTAGCTCATATGCAATTAAGTTTGCTTACATTTAATTCCGTTAAGTCATTTTGTTAACTTATTTAACTGACTGGGTCATCCGCACACTAACAACTTATCTATATCATTACACCTCTATTATTGTCTCGAATGTATGAACATGTATGCTTGAGCACTGCTTACTGCATATGCATATGTTTGTTCTGCTAGCTTTACTATTAGTCGCTTAATTGATCCGACGATTCATTCATTTCTTTATATATACATGCATCTTTAATCCTTTTGATTCTACTCGCTGAATCACTCATTCGCTTCACTGCTTTATGGTCTGAGCTATCTGCTAATAAACTGTAGTTGCTGCTTCTCCTTGCCTTCTGATTTCAAACACCGTTGAGGTTTAGAGGGTGATTGGTTAACGAAGCACAGCACTACAGGAAGATCATTTACATACAGTATATGAAGTAAAGGACTTAGGGCAGAACCTTATGGTACACCTCCAAATGCTGGTCTCCAGGTAGAACACTTCAAATTTTGTATCATTCTATGTCTACGACCTACTAGAAAATCCTTTATCCATTTTAGAAGAGATCCGGAAATTCTAAGAATTTCCAGCTTCAACAACAGTCTATTTGTTGGTACCTTATCAAATGCTTTGCTGAAGTCTTTGGAGGCAACATCCACTGATTTTCTATTGTTTAGAGCCTCTATCCATTGCTCCCTAGCCATAAGGAGATTAATTGTGCATGATGAAACTTTCTGAAATCATGCCGTTTGCTGTCTAACAAGTTGTTGATTTCCACGAATGTCATTATGGTCTTTTTGTGTGTTCTTTCCAGTATTTTAAATATGACACTGGTGAGGCTGAGTTCTGTAGCTTGATGGAAGTTGTCTTGGTCCTGTTATATGCATTGTAGTCACGAATGCATCCTTCAGTCCGTAGCTAACTCACTTTGGTCAAGTGACATTGAATATCACAGTCAGTGTAGCTGAAATATACTGTGCTATTTGTCTTGGGGTTTCTGGGTGGATTTCATCTGGTCCTGTTGACTTCTCTGTGTCTGAAGTGCTAAGAGCCTTAAGTACATAGACTCGATGAAAGCTAACGGTTAGCAGAAGGGTTGTTGACTTCGTATTTGGGTATAGTTCTTCGTCTAGAAGAGGCTCTTGAGTGAAAACTGCCCCGAACTAGTTTGCCATAGCCTCTGCTTCTTCCTGATCGTCCTCTGTCATTTCGGATCCACTGCATTCCGTAATTAGGTTGGGAATCCAATGCTGCATCCTTGTTCTGTAATTTAAGTACGAGGATAGTCTTTTATGTTGCCTGATTGCAGATTGTGCCAACTGCATTTCAGATTTTCTCTGAGCATCCCGGATTTCAATTATACATTTGTTTCTTACCGACCTGTAACGTTTCATAGTACTTACAACGTCAATGCTGATGGAAACGTTCCAACATTACTTCTTTTGTCTTAGTAAACATCAAGTGTCCCGGTCTATCCAGGGATGGCTGTTCTTCTTTTTTGGGACAGTCCAGAGCATATATAGTTGAGTTGCCTGATTTTCTAACTGCCTGAGATAAGTTCATGGCACTTCTAATGATGCCCCTGAGTAAATTACCCAATTTTCAACCGACGATGAAGAGTTCACTGCTTCCATGCTTGCCTTACATATATTAGGACGGTCCGGAGCAACTTTTCGACAGGCCATCTAAGCCATGAACTTGAATAAGATGACTGCATGATTACTTCTCCTTAGAGGTGAGAGAAATGTCATTTGACCGTCACCACTGCGTGTGAATACCAAGTTCAAGAGAGAAGAAGAGCTTCGTGAGTCATATCTAGTGGGAACTATAATTTATTGGAATGGTGCAACTGTGGTTTGTAACAGTTTGTAATTAAATGACGTAGTCGATACCGCTACTTCTAAGTTTCCCCAGTTTATATACGATTATAAAAGTCACCTTTTATCCCTATTACACCAGGATTTAAGTTTGCTTAGGAAGAAGTCATCTATTACACATTCTGTACTGCGATATACTACGAGTAATTCAATATCTTGCCGTCTACATTCTAGCATGCAACGCATCAGTTCATATGTCCCTAGACCATGTGCCACTGTCTCAACAGCTCGAATGGTTGAGGTAATATCTGTGTACAAGATGCACATCTCCCTATTTATGTTTCATTGTTATATTTACTGCCCACAATAACATGATAATTAGCGTATACTCATTAATTCTGACTCTTATCATCTTCGTCTACTTGTTACCTTTACCCTTGCCTAACTATTGTGGTGGCCGGTATTCAGTATAATCCTTAAACTTCGCATACAGTTCGTCTTGATAACCCTCCTATATAACGCCACAACCGTATATTAATAAGAAGGCGATTACGAAGCGTTGATTACGTTTATTACGTGACCACACACAGATATCCGGAATTACAGATGCGTTAAACAAACATAGAAGAGTTGTGTCGACAGGTAAGCAGGCAAGCGAGTGAGCGAGTGAGTCAGCGAATATGAATACGAGTAAGCGAGTGCAATTAAGCGAGTGAGAGCAATGAACATGAATAACATGGACATAAATATACATAGTGGAATGAATGAAGCATCGAATCAATGGAGCGGTTAGTAGTAAGGCCAGCAGTGTGAATAAATGCATGGGCAGCAAGCAATGCTCAAGCATACATGTACATACATTCGCAACAATAATAAAGATACAATGATATAGATAAGTTGTTGATGTACGAATGATTCAGTTCGTTAATCAGTTAACAAAATGACTTAATCGAATTATTTGTGAACAAACTCAATTTCACGTGAGCTGTTATACTATAATCCATAGGCGATTTATCTATTTATTTCTGACCTTAGTCTTCTCTCAGCCCTTTTCTTTTGTGATCCGAAGGATCAAATATTACGAGCAACCGATCACCTTCTGATAACTGTGACGGCTCACGGTTGCAGAAATTCTTTTTTCATGGGACAAAGTTATTCACACAGACTTTAAGATGTACATACCTACAAATAACTGCTCAACTCAATAGAACAAGTACAGTTGGATAGCTAGATTAGAAGCCACAGAAACCACGTCGTAAAATCAAGAAGCAAGTACACAGAAGTTATTTGAAGTACACAAGCCTGACAGCATGACATTAGGTATTGGACAATTGAAAGTATTGTTAAACGGTTTTGTTTGTTCAGGTTTGCGCACTAACTCGTGAGAGCCTGCTGTAACTGCGCTTCGAGAATCTGCTGGTTGGTGTCATGGTTGGTTTCTTGTTCTGTTAACTATGCTATAAGGCTGCTCGTGCATTTAAAAAGTTCGCCCCTCTTTATGACCGTGTTTTGGTCCAACGTTTTGAAGCTGAAACCAGAAGTAAAGGTGGGATCATGATACCGGAGAAGGCTAAAGGCAAGGTTCTTGAAGCAACTGTGGTCGCGCATGGTCCTGGATCGAGAAATGAAGTAAGTTACTTTTTATTAATTGTATTTTCTGTAGAAAGGTGAAGTTGTTCCTGTGTGTGTCAATGTTGGTGACAAGGTTTTCCTTCCTGAATACGGTGGTACTAAAGTCGTACTGGACGAAGATGTAAGTACAGTTTAATTTGAGTATAATGCTTGTAGGAGTATTTTCTTTTCCGAGAAACTGACATTTTGGCCAAGTTCGAAAATTGACCGGTGTTTTAGATCTAGTCCCCACACCTTTGTACACTGATTATTCAAATACCATAGTTTTTCATTTCTAATAAGTCTTTTCGTACGTCGTATTTGGGTTATGGCAGTGTGTGGCTTATCGTAGGCACAATTCATTTCGTTGATAAAGGTCTACGTTCTCTGAAGTAATTTACGTAGTTATTGGAGAGGTTCAACACCCGTCGCTGAGGTTTAGTTATTACGTATACTGAATGCTAATTTCAAGTATGTAGATTTAAGAGCGTCAGGCTGTGTCCAGTTGTTATATACGATACCCAGGCATCTTTATTTTAACATCACTGCAATGATAGTTTAATATGCTAGTAACTCCACATCCATATGTTGGACATACGCGTCACACGCTCTAAGGTTTATCCACGAAGAAGTGGTAGGATAAGCGTTTACCTACTTATGTTTGGTGTTTATACAGTCAATGCAATGTGTTGTGTTAGTTTGCACAGGGATGCGCAGAACGTGTCTTCATCCTCCTTTGATATTGGCTGCTGGATCCAAATGTCTGCTTTAATATCTTTGCATATCACTATGTACAATTTTATGAATTGAAATGCTTGGAGCTTTCGAATTTATGGTTGATCTGTAGCCATAATCCTCCCTCCGCTGGAAAGTTACTGTTCAGGCTGCTGCCATGTAATTTTGATTCAGTAGGTTGTTAAGATGCTTGTTGTCAGCCTTCTATCGAGATTTTGTGGCAGCTGGATCAGCGTTCTAGTTGTTGGCAGTCTGGGATTTGTCTTTTATTCTGTTATTGGTCGCCCACAACCAGTGTAACATTTTTGACTAATGACCAATATCGTTACTTGGTTTTATCACATGCAATCAGTGCTGTGAAGAGCTGTAGTTGGTTACACAGTCTTGTACTTCTAGTGGGGTGTTTTTTTTGGTAGTTTTTAAAATATGGTATACAGTAATGTTCTTCATTAAGCATGGACGTATTCCAAGCACCTATAGTTTTGTTGACCCGTCAGTGGTTAGCTGTCAGTCAGTTTAGAGCAACGTAAGACGGTCAATGCATATGCATCGAGCTAACTTACCGTATCACGAGAAAGTCAGATGGGCATCAGAATGATTAGTGTGGTAATGCTAATGATAGTAAGGAAAGATTAAACATGAACAATATTACTCGTACAAGAAGAATGAATCCACAGAATATAATGGCGATCCTAAGGAAAGTAAATTAATACACTTGGGTCGTTGGGCTGATTCTGAGGCATGTCACCCGACTACTGGTCAGGACGATCACACATGCTCTAACCAAGTTGTATTGTGCTTGAGAGATTTTATGAACTGTTACTTTCTTGGTCTGGTCATCCGTAACTTTCTTCCAACCTGCCACAGTCTATGTAAACTGTATTAAGTACGGTAAAAATGTGGCGTTTTGATAACTTATCTATGTCGATAAGACTTCGTATATTTCGATTTCGCTTCGGGGATACAATCCAACTAGTCATATCTGGTCCCTTTTAAGATGCGCAACATGAACTTAATCCACTTAATATTATCATTTAATTTCATAAATGTAATATCTGACGAATATTGTTCGTGGGGAATGTACATTGAGTAAATCAATTTCCTGATAACCAATGCTTATAATTACTCTCCATAAGCATACGGGTTTACTGATTGTATAAAGTAGTTTGTTATATTCTTGGTTAGTAAACTGAATTACTTTCAACTTGTTTGTCAGGAATTACTCCCTTCCAACATTTTATTTATAAAATAAATTTATATTTGTAACATAAAATGGATCGCATTAACTTCAAATAGCGTCTGTTGTCCTTGTTTTTGAGAAAGTTTGTCAATGAGACTACAATGAACTGGTGATCTTAAGTGAAGTAAAAAATAGTTGTTACAAACAATATGATGATGTTTTACTTGTTATTAATGGGTCAATATACAAGTTCAAATGTAAACTATGATCCAGCCTAATCTATAACTTCAAGTTCTGCAGTCTTGAAAATTCCTGAGAGATACTTGCAAAATAAATGCCTAATTTTGCCACATAAGAATCATCAAGATAATTATATATGGTGCTAAGTTAAGTGTCATGTTTGGTATTAAAAACTGATCTTAGACGACCACTTGAAAATAGGAAGCACTGAATATCAGTTCAATTTTAGTATGGGACCTATCAGCAGTGTACGTCTACAACCCTACTATAGACATTTTTTACGTCATAAGTACGAACTTCTACCCAATTTTCACAAATAGATAAAAATAATAGCTGAACTGTAGTTTTGTCTTCGAATGTTTTTAATTATTATCATTAGTATTCACAGTGTAGATTAACGAATAAAATTATACTGAAATCTTAATTTCTTCTGACGGGAATAAACGTATAGTAAAAAACAAGTCCTACATTACATCCTAATCTAAAATATTAACTATTATACATGGTTACTTTTGTCGTTTTTTGTACAAATTACAGTGTAACTCAGCTGTGATGCATTACTATGTCTGTGCTACTTGACTGCTCAAACATCAATAGTTAAGATAAGGTGCGAACTCGCAATTCATTGGTTGATAATCAAGTAAAAATTACAAATGTGGTTTACTGTGTGACACCTTCCAATTATTTTCACATATGACATAAATATCAAGTGAAAAATGTTGGCTGACAGACAGTGTTTGTTAAAACATGGAGGTTTTTCGTTGGTTTAAGAGAAATGTGTATGTATAGTCACCATATAGTTTAATACCGAAATATCGAATTTAAAATGGTCAACTTATGAAATGGTATCAATCCATAAAATCATTGGTGGAGAAACGTAAGGAGATGCAGTCCCATAGTAGCTCGTGACCACCAATATGTTCATACGCCATTTTTCCCCTCAGGATCGTGGAGCTCATAAGGGTTTTAAGACTCCCCTAGGTGAACTCTCTGTATCCAACCAACCCGGTTGAAGCACCAGACATTGGCTTTTTTTCCTCTCAACTTTGTGAACAACAGTCCCTTCATTGGAAGGTATTTAGTAGAACTTTCGTGGGAGTGGCTGAATACATGTGGTCATGTGAGAGGATTTCAAGTGGAAGAGCGAATTCTCCCAACCGGTAGAATAATATGATCTCATTTTAGTTGAGTGGGTTCTGACCAATTACTTTCCACCATGTTCTTATTGAAATAAATTAAGAAGTTCCAGTTTTTTGTCCGTTATATATTTCAAAAGATTAATGAAAGTCATTAAGGATAATTTAGATGTATTGTGAACTACTTTTCGAATGATCTGAAGGAATATTTTTTCACTTACAAGACAGTTTTCGATGACACTTTTTTTAACCTTAAACAATTTTGTTCCCATTACAAAATGTTCTATTAATCAGTCATATTATGCTCAAAATAATAAATAATGGATTTCAATAAACGTATATGAAGTTTTGTAAATATATTCAGTATTTTGATCAGTCTTCAATTTTTACGAATAAAAAGAATGGGAATGTTTTGAACAGTTAATGGTGACCATTACTCTCAATTTGTTGTGTAATATCCCACAAATGGCCCCCAAATGCTCTGGTACGGCCGAGAGTGGGAAGAGTCCGCTCTCCCTCTCGAAATGCTCTCACATGGCCACGCGTATCTAGCCTCTGCCAGGGAAGTTATACTCATTGCCTTCTCGCACCACGGTGTTGTTTACGAAGTTGAGAGGACGAAAAACGAGTGTCCAAAGTCTTAACCGGGTTGGTGGATATGGAGGATCCACTCAGTGGAGTTGGAAAACCCTGATCTCAAACCAATGGTGCACATAAGCTCCAGTATCCTGAAGGAACAAATGGCGTAGAAACCAATCGTCGTTCACCGGCTACCATGGGACTGCGTCTCCTTACGATGCTCCACTGCCCTGTGGATCAGACCTTTAGGTCGAAGGCTCTGGGAGTGGCCCCCTAAGAAAACCATCTGCTTCAATTTGGGCACCCGAGCAGTATCACAGCCCTCACACATATTGAATGAGATTTGTGTGGCGTATATGTATTTGGTGCCTCCTTGTATCAATATCTATGTGTTAAAATAAATAATACAAATAAATAATCCCACAGTACCCACATAAACTAATAACATTTATTGTATTTTTTAGTGTAATTACATTCTTTCAAATCTTGCAACAGTTATTTCGAGTATTTTTCGCCCTCCTTGAATGAATTACAGTGTAAACAGAACAGCTTCCATATTCCTGTACTCTTAGTTCCCATTTCGGTTATTGATAGTTATTATTGATATAATACATAGATACTGACTGTCATTTACGTTATCGTATGTTGTAATTAATCTTAATATTATCAAAACATGAAACTACTTATCTTTCCAGACACATGGACAATTTATTTGCTTCAGATATATCATGAGTTGAGGTTTATCCATGTTCCTTAATAACAGAACTGTTTGTTAGATGGATCGTTCTTTCTGAACCTCGATCTCATGCATATCTTAATCATGTAGTTGGATGTTTCCATGGAATTAACAACTTTTCTAAATTGCAGCTGTGAAAAATAACGTATTCTGGAAATTAAACAAAATGTTTTGTAGAAGAATAACCTAAGCAACCAAATAAAGGGGAAAATGCGTTGTGAATTAATGGGGGAAAAGCGCCAAAATGTCAGCTTTATGGTCTGTCTGGAGGAAATAATGCTGATTTCCTTTTTTATATCGCTCTGTGTATTAAATATCGCTGAATTGTCTACTTTCGTAAAGTTTGAAGCTTACGAATAAACTTATCGACGGAATGCTAATTAAGATTTGCTTGGAATTCTATGTAGTACATCTCATAACATTTGAAACTACTTATTATTCACTTAGAATATTTAATTTATAATACGACTAAATTCCACTGATCTATATGCATTGAATGTAAGTCTTTCTAATAACAAGTTAGAAGGTTATTATTAGAATGGTGATTTGCAGAGATTGTAGTAATTTTCAGTAACTGAATTCATAAGTCGAGTCCGGCTTGCAAGATCGTGGATGCACACTGCTGAGATATCCCATACTAGGATGAAACAACTGTCAAGTACTTCGAGGTTTTCGATGGTGGTCTAGTTTAAA